AATTACACTGATGAATATCCAAGTAACAGGAAAAGGTTTTTAGTGGATAATTTAAAAGACGGAAGTGTAGACGAAATGGAGAGTAAAGATGCAAGTGAAGACGAGGATTGTGAAAAGGATGGTGAAAGGGAAGAAAAAATTGATAATGCAGAAGAGCAGGAAGAGGAGATCGGTAATCTTGCTCTAAATACAGGAGAAGAGGTGCAAGACAAAGATGGAACTCTGAAGAGTGATGGAGAAACTCTGTGTGACATTAAAAACGACCTCGAAGAAAGTGTAAGTGAAATGCAAGATTTGGACAAGGAAATCAAAGCTCCTGAAAATGTTGCCTCAAAAGTTTGGCCCAGAAATGAGGACATTTTAAATTTACCAGACATAAAGCCATTTGAAAATGACTCTGAATTGCCCAGGAGCAGAGAAAGACAAGTGAATGATGACTCGGATAGTGAGATGGCTGAAAGTGAAAAACATAATGTTGGAAGAATAGATGCGAACCGAGATCAGAAACTTAAGGAGGATGATGATGATGACGGTGAAAGCGAAAATGAGGGAATTAGAGAAAATGCTCGGTTATTTGAAAGTGATAATACAAGAACAGCTGTTAAAGAGGAAGATGATACTAGTAATGGTGGTGGTAAAACTGAATTCAACAATATCACAAGTGATGTTCTTGAGAATTTAGAAAAAGAGTGTAAAAAAGAATTAAGTGAAAGTGAGGATAGTGAAAATGAAGATGAGACGAAAAACAAAAGAACTTTCTTGGAAAAAATGGAAAGTGACAGTGAGTCTGACAAAAGTGAGAGTGAGAGTGAAAATAAGTTCAGAGAAAAGAAAATAGGGTTAGATGAAAGTGATGATAGTGACAAGAGTGCAGATGAGGATGATAAAGAAACCAGTATGGACTTCAGAAATAGAACTGAGAGTGAAGATGAGGAAAGTGACACTGAAAAGAGGCATTTTGGCAAAGAAGTGAGGGAAACTTGTGAAAATGATAGTGAAAATAGCAGAAGTAGTACTGGCAGTGACAGTAAAATGGTGGGAGATAGTGTACCTGATGTAGAGGAAGATGAAGATGACACAAAAATTGTGAAAAAGAGTAGAAGTAGTGATGAACAAATTGATGTAGATAGTAAGAGTGAGGAACTGAACAATAGAACCCACCACAGTGTAAAGGACAGGGTTAAAGAGGAAATTGTGAGTAGTGAGGAAATAGAAAGAAAGATGGAGAGAGATAGTGAAGACAGTAATCAGGAAGATAAGGACAGTAGCAAAAACTCTCTCTTTGATGCTGTTCAATTAATGAAAACGATGGGAACGATAGCAATAACGAGACTGGATGGCAAAAGTCTAGAACGGGGGAACAGTAACAATGGGGTAACTATATCGTTGGCCAAAGAGCAACCCAAATTTGAAGTGGATGATAGGAGGTCTGAAAATGAACAGGCAAACCGGACTAGCCCTAGTTCACGTGTAGCATCTCCAGTTCAGAAATTATCAGAAAGTAGAGACATGGAGCAACATATATCTTCCTTAGGATGTAGTGTAAGTGTAACAAAAGCAGTAGAAAAGGATAAAGATAAAGAAAAGGAAAAAGAAAAAGTGAAAATGCCATCTGGAGTTGATACTACACGCCTCAGCCCATCAATTTCCATCATTCCAATGTCGGGAGGAAGTGACCGCCAGCGAACTAAAACCACCATTGCTCCATCAGCATCACCAAGCCCTAGTCGCACATCACCGTCAGTCTCTGCACAGCATGCTCCAAGGAGTTCTCCGTCAGTCTTGGTACAAAATCCTCCTCAGAGTTCACCATCAACCACACAGGGTGTACCTCCAAGAGTTTCTTCTTCATCATCAAGTAGTTCTCCTCAAACTAGTGGCAGTGGCATTCCCCCTCCACCACCTCTTTCTCACCCTCAGGCTTCTGCAGCAGGTGGTGTAGGCTCCAGAGGTGTATTTGGTCCTCCTCCTCCAGGCAGCCAAGTTCTGGGAATGGGTGGTGCTCGTGGGCCTATCATGGCTACTCCTGGTATGAGAATGATGGGTGGAGGAGGACCTGGCATGATGGTGCCGTCACGTATACCAGGCGGTCCGCCTACTAGACATCTACCTCCAGAAGCTGGTCCACTTTCTGCTCAACTTCATAAGCACTCCCAAAAGCTAGCAGAGGTCATGCGTGCCACACTCGAGGATGTTCTAGGTGGTCTTGTGATGACGGGGACCCCTGAGGCTCGGGTAGCTGCACTTCAGCTAGAATTGGAGCGCACGAATTGGAGGCATCAGCAAGAACTTGCCGAGGTTAGGCATAATGCTGATGTAATGCTTGTGGAAATGAGAGCTAATTTGGAAGCAGAAAAGCAGCGAGCTGTAGAGGAAGTGAAAAGGCAAATGGAGCAGCAAATGATGGAGGGGCGAAGACAAATGGAACGGCAGATGGTGGAGCGATTGGCAGAAGTACGGAGACAAATGGAAGCAGAAAAACAAAGAGCTGTTGAAGAAACCAAAAAGAAACAGTGGTGTGCCAACTGTGGAAAGGAAGCATTGTTTTTCTGTTGTTGGAACACTTCTTATTGTGATTATCCTTGTCAGGTAAGAGTTAGAAACTTCTTTCATTTGAAAATTATTCGACATTAATTTGATAGTGGAAGACAGGCAGCATGTCTAAAAAAAATGCTGTGAGTGTGTTAGAGAGGAATGAGTGGAGGCAGATGTTGTTTGGGATGTAATGAGCTGTTGGAGTGTGAGCATGGTAACATTTTGTCAAGGGATTCGGGGAAACTGGTTAGCTGGACTTGAGTCCTGGAAGTAAGAAGTACACTGCCTGCACTCTTAAGGAGGGGTGGGGATTTTTGCAGTTTGGAGGGACATCTGAACTGTAGTATCTGCTTGTCCCTGGAAAGCCAGTGATAGAGTGAATGATAGTGAAAGTGTTTCTGTTTTGGGTCACCCTGCCTTGGTGGGAGACTGCCAGTATCTTAAAAAAAATTGATTCATTCTTTCTCTAATTCATACCTGATTTGTGTGAATTATAGAATATTTCTTATTCAACAGTTTGAAAACTGTAATGTGTGTCATCTGGATAAAATCCAAATTTATATTCTTAATTTTTGCTTTGGACATTGCAGAGTTTTGGAGAATACTTAGAATTAAATTTTTTTTAAATATTCTTGTTTGGAAAATTAGATTTCAAAATCTTAGCTTCCTAATTGGTACAAAACAGGCAAAACTGAACGAGTTGAATGAAAACTCACAGGATGGGTAGGGCTCAATCCCATGGTAAGCAGGTCCTAAAACTGAGGGGCCTTGTGCTAACGACTGGTCCATGCCAGACAAACAAGATTCATTTAGCTAGGTATATTTCTATACACCATAGTTAGCATGCACCCCACTGTAACCACAGATGCAAATTTTACAGATGATTCCCACACCAGCATAAGTGTGATGGGCTCTAGCTCAAGTCCTATCAAAGCAACCATGTGTATACACTATGCAGCAATAGTCTGGTAGACAGCAGCTGTCCAGAGATGTAATACTGTACTATCTTACCAGTTCAATGTTACGCACTCTGGTAGAATTTCTAGTGTTGTGTTTTTTTCTCGTGAATGTAAATGGTAGGTTTATCTCATAAAGATCGGATATGGTTAGTATACAGGAGGGCCCTGCTTATACAGCAGGTTAGGTTCCAGGATACTGCTGTTAAGTGAAACATAGTTTCTTCTTCTTTTTCTTTTTTTTACTTTTGAATGTATATAAAAGCCTGATAGCATGTTTACACTATCATGTATTAAGTGAAGAATAGAGTTAGACTTAAAAAATCATATACAGTACACACACTATTTACCCTAAAACATTTTTGTCCTTAGCTTATAGTGAGTGGTGAATATATTTATTGTAGGAAGTCTGAATAAATGTAGAATGGCTATAATTGAAAAACCGCTGGATCAGTGATAAGCTGTAGAGCAAAGCACTGTAAAGTGGGTCCTGCCTCTACACTGTTTTGTTGTCTGGTAATGGTTTGATGAATCATCGCTCCCATAGCTTGGTCTCAGGGAAGGCAAGCCTCCTGGTGAACCAAATAAACGTCATACAAGCCGAGACTACAGCTATACTATAAGAGTAGGAGAGCTCTTTGTTATTCCAGTTAAAGGGGTTAGGATGTATTTCTTACTATTTGTTTCATTTCCTTTTATAATTTTGAATGTAGTTAGCATGTCTCCTCTTTTATTCATGGGAATAAAAAAAGAATTTCTTGTTTTTGAGGTTAATGTTCATATCTGTATCTTAAGCCTTAAACTGTCCAAACGTAGATCTACGTTTTCACGTGTAGTGCTCCGACCTTGATTTTCTCCATAAGAAAGCTTGTAAAAAAATGTAGATCTATGTTCGGAGTTCTACGCAAGTGAACGTAGATCTACGTTTGGACAGTTAAAGGGTTAAATGCTTAAAATCAGCAAATAGTACATTGCGTAAAATTAAAGGTTGATCATCAGTTTTGTTGATAAACATGCTAGCCAGTCCTAAAACCAGCAGACCAATGTATTATCCACTGTGCTATGGTGGCCTCATGCCATTCTTCCTATGCATTCCAATTACCACCACTGACCACAAACATGCATTTGTGGTCACAATGGACCCATGCTAACTTTCCTGGTATATATAAAGCACACAGTGGTATTATTAGGCCAGTATGGTGCAGTGTTTAACACACCGGCCTGCTAGTTTTAGAATCAGCTTGCCATGGTTTTGAACCCCCACTCCATTCAGTGAGTTGTTTATAATCATGTCTCGAGTCATTAATCATCAGAGATTTGCATTGTGATGTTTCAAGTCATAAATATGTGCATTTACTCTTTCCCTGGTAGCAATCACATTGGCCCCAGCACATGTCAGTGTGTGGCCAGAACAGCGATGGTGGCGGCGGTGGTGATGGAGGGCCTGACTCGGTCAACGGGGAGGCCAGCGGACACTCTTCCAGGGTATCAACACCAGTTCAGAACCTGGTTGCAGCACAAGTAGGTTTTAAACAGTTTTCCAGAACTTCAGAACAGAGTTTCATTACTTATTGTATCTATTTTTTTTTTAATGTATACACAGTTGAGTACTGTGTTTACTGGTGACTAGTTAGTGTTCCAAGTCGGACCTAAACGTCACCACAAGTTTCATTCTTCTGTATGCGGGTTATTTGTAGAGTGCAGTACTGTACAGCATTTGGAAACACTTGGTAATTGTATTATTGTATTTTGGCCATTACCTGATTGTTGTATGGGCTCTTGCATATACAGTATGTAAAACAGCCACAGCCCCTGTGGTTGTTTTGCATTTTCTGCATTTTTTCTCCTCGGAGTCCCAGAGAGCATTTAACTACTTTTAATACAGTTTCATAGTTTAATTTTATATAAAAAGCATCATTCCCAATAGCACAAACAATACGAACAGTACAAAAGTAAACAAAAGTGTTGTGTGTAATTGCGTCAGACACGGTAATCAGTGTGTCTCACTACATTAAGAGATAATTAAGATTTTGTTAACAGTTTTTAATTTAGTAACTTGAAATATTCTCCTGTAGGTACATATATGAAAAACTGGCATGACCAAATTGTTATTATATGTTTATTTTTGGCAAGACAGCTAAGTAATGAGTGACTGTGACTATGAGATTCTCTGCCTTGATGGGAAATAGTTGAAAGTGTCATAAACACTCGTAGCAAAACTATTAAGTGTTTTCTATTGGGTTTCAGAGTATAGTTTATGCATAAATGCTGCTGATGGATGCATAAAATATTAAAACATCCTGCAGTCGTGTTTGAGCGTGTTAGATAGTAGTGTGGGGAGGCAAATGGTTTTTGGGACCTGATGAGCTGTTGGAGTGTGAGCAAGGTATCATTTAGTGAACGGGTTCAGGGAAACCGCTTTGCAGGACTTGAGTCTTTGAGTTGGGAAGTACCTGCATTATAAAGGAAGGGTTAGGGATATTTGCCATTTGGAGGGACATCTGAATTGTCATGTCTGCAAATCTTTGGCAAAACAGTGATAGTGTGAATGATGGTGAGGTGTTTCTTTTTTGGGTTGCCTTGCCTCGATGGGAGACAATCACCATGTTAAAAAAGTTCCTCAGATATTGCTTTGTTAGTTTCTGGTTTCCCATAACTACAACTATGGTACAGGTTTTCTTTATTTTAAGCTACAATGGTTCTACTTGGGTTACATAAATGTGTGTGTATATAGCTGCAAATAAGCAAATTAAAAAAAAATAGTCTTGACACTTCTGACATTGCAGGGGTTGACTGTACAGTGTCACTCGATACACAAGAGTGGGCTGCCATATAACATTAAACCCTAATATTTTTTCGTTGCTCTGATATTTTTTCGTTGCTTTTATGGTTTTAAGAAAAAGGCATATGATAGGATGGATAGGGAAGCATATGGAGATGTTGCATGTGTATGGAATAGGTAGTAAGTTAATATATGCTGTAAAGTGGTTTTATGAGGATGTGAGGCTTGGTTAGGGTGTGTAGGAAGAGAGGGAGACTACTTTCCAGTAAAAGTAGGTCTTAATCTGGAGGTGTAATGTTACCATAGTTGTTTAACATATCTTTAGATAGAGTTGTAAAAGAAGTAAATGCTTGGGTGTTGGGAAGAGGGGTAGGGTTAAATTATAGGGAATCAAATACACAATCCTCCTGGGGAAGTGGAACAGTTTTTCTTCCTTCTGTAAGCCATGCATATTGTAAGAAGAACTAAAATGCGGGTGAAGGGGCTAGTAATCCGTTTTTTCTTCTGTTTAAAATTACTTAATTTAAAAAGAGAGAGTTTCGTTTTTCTGTTTAGGTCGCCCTGCTTCAGTAGGATATGGCCAGTTTGTTAAAAAAAAAATAATACAAAATGGGAGTTGACAAAGTTAAATTTAGCTGATGATACTGTGCTTTTGGGAGATTCTGAAGAGATGTTGCAAAGGTTAATGATGAGTTTGGGATGGTGTATAAGGATAAAAGTTGCAAGTGAAACATTGACGAGTTAAGGTGGTGAGGGTATCAAATGAGTTAGGAAAGAAAAATTGGATATCACATTGGAGAGAGGGAGTATGGAAGACGTGAAGGCGTTCATATTTTTCAGAGTAGACTTGTCGGCAGACGGGTTTATGAAGGATGAGGGTAAAAAACCATAGAGTTAATGAGCGGAAAAAAGGTGGTTGTGCCATTGAAGTATCTGGTAGAGAAGATGTACATTATCCATGGAGGCAAAGAGGGGAATGGTATGAGAGTGTAGAGTAACCAACCCTCTATATGGTTGTGAAACATGGGTTATGATGTCTGCAGTGAGGAGGAGGTTGGAGGCAGTGGAGGATGTTGTGTTTGAGGGCAAATGTGTATGTGGCATAAATATTATGTAGAGAATTTGAAGTGTGGAAATTAGGAGAAGTGTGGTGTTACTTAAAAAGTATTATTTCAGAGGGCTGAGGAGTGTTTGTGAGATGGTTTGGTCATTTAGAGAGGATGGAATCACAGGATGACTTTAGGGTGTATAAATCTGATGGAGGGAATGGCATGGGGTAGGGGCTCTACGAAAGATGGCAGGAGGGGGATAAATAAAGAGGTTTTGTGTGCAAGGGGTGGGACATGCAGCAGTTGTGTGAGGTTGTTAGATAGGAGTGGAATGAGATGAATGGTCCTGGGGACCTGACGGAGTGTTGGAGTGTAGGCAGGGTATATTTTGTGAAGGATTCAGGAAAAAAACGGATTAGCCAGACTTGTGTCCTGGAGAGTAGGAAGTACAATACCAACACTTTAAGGAGGTGTTTGGATATTGGCTGTTTACAGTGATATCTAACAGTTGTAACTGAGCACCTCTGCAATGACGGTTAATTTTGCTTGGGACTGATGTGAAAGTGTTTCTTTTTTGGGTCACCCTCGCCTTTATGATAAGATGGCCAATGTGCTAAAAAAACATTATATGATCCTATCAATAAAATGTACAGTACTGTACAGTACTTAATGTTCATCACTATTGCACCATCGTAAATCAAAATATAATAAGTCGAACCATCATAAAGCGGCGGGGGTGGGGGGGGGGGGGGGGGGGGGGGGGGGGGGGGGGGGGGGGGGGGGGGGGGGGGGGAGGGGGGGGGGGGGGGGTGGGGGGTGGGGGGGGGGGGGGGGGGGGGGGGGGGGGGGTGGAGCTCATAGTTTACTTAACTACAATCCCCAGATTAGTTTTTTATTTTTAATCTAGGCTCTGGTGTCTCTCTGCAACTCTGTTGGTGTCCATCAGCTGTTGCAGTATATTATTCGTTGATTCTGCATATTGATATTTTCTTGCTCCCAAATACCTGTGAAGTCTGTGATACACTACAATGTTGTTTGGGCACTTTCCGTTTCCATCAGTGTCTCACCTGCCTGTAGTTTGCAGTAATATTCGTAGTTTACGTAAAACCTTGATTCCCTTCTCCTGCCTTCGGGGGCTGCATCCAGTGAAATTGTCACTAGAAGCCAACTATACCTTATGCTTGGGCTCCTCGTCTATATACTCAGGTTCTACAAATTTCCACTTGCGTTTCGTGTGCATTACTTTGGTTATAGCTTAAAAAAGAAGCTATTTTTTTTTTTAGCTTATTCTTGGCATTATGGGCATAGAGAAATGTTTCAACCAATTTTTTTTAGACAAATCATTGGAAAATCAAATAGAGAAACTTGGTAGTGCAAACAGTTGATTTGTAAAAGGTTTTTGTCTTATTTAGGTTGGCAGCATTTTACTTCATTCAAGACAACCTTAAATTTCAAACAGTATTCTGAGTAATAACGATACTCGTATTTGTGCTAAGGCTAATAAACATAGACTAAAGTTTTACTTTGTATTGAAAGTTATTGTTACTGATATTAATCATTTTATAAAAGAGTGATAGAAGTACAGGAGAACCTGCTTATTTACTGTCTTTTCTATTTCTGGACCTCGTGCAAAAGAGCCGACACGTAGTTTAAATTTTGTGGCCAGTGGAGATCAATGTGGCAGTTTGTCCCAGGCAAAGCCATGCCGCAACAAATCAGAACACAAAAGACAAACAAATATTTTTATGGACTGTCAATGTACAAATGGTAGTACTGGACTCCCCAGACAGGTGTATTCTATTTATGAGACACACTGTATGGAATATACGACAACACTTTCAGAAAGAGGCGACAGTGGTTGGCAAAAGCTTTTCAGGTCTTTTGCGAGGACTTTTCTCAGTGCAAGGGAAAATTAATATGAATATGTTAGGTTTAAGGGTTTGCTTTGGACAAGTCGCGCTGTATAGTACTTGTGGCTTAGCGCTTCTTTTTGATTATAATTAATAATTTGGACAAGTCTCGAAAATTCTAGGCCACAGCCTATGTTACCTATGTGCGATCACTACATTTGGCTTATTTTTCTGTGTGGAATTTATGAAGAGTTCTAGTATCACTGAAAATTTTGCTGCATTTTTTTCCTGTTTCCAAAGGTTAATGAGAACAAACCACCGTGAAAATGAAATAGTTGAACTCCAAATGCTTTTTATGCGTTCTCACATATCAGGAACTGTAAAAATAAAGGATCAGCAGAAGGCATATAGGACAAGGATTTACACTTGCTAATCTTTTATGTTCTCACAGTTCCTTGATAATGTGAGAAAGAAATCATGAATGCACTTGGAAAAGTCACTGTTTTTTCACTGTGGCTTTTCTGCTTTGTGATATCACCTGTTTATTGTGATTTTATTGCATATAATATAGTATATAATATGTATATATAAATTATATATATACAGTGGAACCTTGGTTTTCATATTCCCTAGTTTGTATAAAAATGTTTCTATAAATGTATATTTTTTTAATATTTTCGGGTGTCTGGAATGGATTAATTGGATTTACGTTATTTCTTTTGGGAAATATTAACAAAAATCACATTTTATAGAGAATAACTATGGTTTTGCACACCAACTAGGGCATACAAAAACCCAGGTTTCACTGTATATTTATACCATATTTTCTTGCATGTGAGG